CGTTTATTGAGAATACTTATTTACAAGATATTTCGACTTAAATAGCGCCTCGAGTTAAATGAAATTTGGAGCGTTACAAATCCAGTCTTGGATCCGTCCCTGTTCAGAGTTGTCATTTGCATTAAATAATTTGTCGGAGTTTGAAATTAGCTTGTGTTTGAATCTCAATTCTATGAGAATAGAAATTTTGGAATAGTGATTGATGTGAGAATGTGTGGTGGAAAAATAATGAAAAGTTTTAGGTTTATATGTAATATTATTTTATTTGAAAAATGTGTGGTTGAAATGAAGAAAGATAAAAAAAAATGAGAATAAGAATGAGAAAAAAATGAGTATTGTTTATTACCTGAATGACTTCAATTCTTGCTATGGGAACATATTTTGGCAGGTTATAATGAGCGCATTCAAACTTGTCCCACAGTGGACTCCTAAATTATAGTTGATGTAGCAATTGGAAAGATAATTGGTATTACCTTTTTTTTTACGATAATCATTTTTATCGTTTCAATTTTAACACTTGCACCCTTGAAATCATTATATTATTGCGCAAAAGGTCCTTCCGATCATCTACTATCCATTTGTTATGTTAAATAGGCTTATGATCTGCATAATATGATTTAAAAGGGTAAAAATGTATGTCCGCTTAACACTTTCTTGCCTTAACTTTACACTACGATTTCTCGAGGTCTTTAACATTTATTTCAAAAACCTATTTCAAAAATCAAATTGAATTCAATTTCTAATCAAAGAAATTGAAGCGCAACGTAACCAGTATGGTACATACATAATTTTATCCTGTTCTTTTTCCTTTTTTTTTTTCTCTCTCTCTCTCTCTCTCTCTTTTTTTTTTTTTTAACATTTTCGTAAATTAATAGATAAAATAGATCATGTCTAATATAGAAATAATTCCGTGAAAAACAGATTAAAATTGCAATGCGGGAATTTTTTGGACAACAGACTGGTAGTTCTATGATGGTGAGCTCATGATAGTAGAGCTGGTGGGGGGCGTGGAGGGAGTCTAGGCAGGGTGTAAGGCTTTGGAGAAGAAACTGATTTTTCCTCTTTTCATGTTTTAATTATTTTTTTTAAAAAAATTAAATGATAAGGATGAAGTGGATTAACATTTTTACTCTTTTAAATCAGAATTAAACTACTCGTACACTCATTGTTTACATCTTCTTCCGTGTCACAAATCTAGTCATTGATTAAAAAAAGTATTGTTAAATCCAATGCATCAAAATTTGCAACTCACGAGTGTAAACCAAGATGTCAACATTGATGTATACAAGTATGTTTCTATAAATCACGTCCATGTCATTTGCAGAGGATGCACCTACTTAACAAAACAAATGGATGAAGGGTTACTGAAAAGACCTTTCACACAAGAATAGATTGATCTAAGGATACAAATGTCAAAAAAAATTGTGACGATTATTGCAAAGGGACTAACGAGATGGACGTTGTGTACCAATTACCCCATTTTGAAATAAGGGATTTGGTACTATCTGTGTGCTAAGAACTCTAGAGGTGACTGCATTACATATTCTCTCTCTCTCTCTCGGTCCTAAACCAAGAAAGAGAGAGAGCAAGAAATTGCCCTAACCACTAACCACTCACTCGTTAGCTGCTCAATCTATCTGTAAGCAAAGCGCCTGAGGGGAGACACGATAGGAATGTCTTTAGTAACATTGGCATGGTGCTTGTAACCTTATTTACCACTGTTTACTTTCCATCATTGACCAATAGATCGCAGAATAATGAGTTACATAATTGACATGAAAGAATTAACAGACAAGGACGTGAGGGTTACCCAGAATGTTTGGACATAAAGCAACCGTATGTGCTTCATAAGTCAGCCATCAAATCCCAGGGCTTAACCTTGGAGAGGTGGTGGAAACTAGCAAGCTGGGAGTACGGTAGAGACAGATGAGATTTCGGATGAGCAGTGAAAGAAATGCATAGAGATCGAAAAGCTCGCAATCAAGGTGTTGATACCATGTCCGTGACTGGATGATTCAAAGAGTTGGGGAAATGAGAGTACAGAGACGTAATACAATTCATATATAGCTGAAATGGGATGATATTTTAAAATGTTTAGGTACATTCTTGCACTTTTACTCCAATAGCACGTATCAGGATGTAGACGGAAGGGGATGGGAACAGGCTATCAGAACATTCATCAAATGCTGAAATGAGACTTTCCTGCAAGTTAGGTTATAGGCATCAGAATCAAGCTTTGCCAACAGTGTTCATAGCTTTCAGGATCCAGCCAGCACTACAAATTTTGGTTACGATAAAATGTTCCCAAAGGATTCCACAACATCTAAAGTAAATCACAATTCTGGTTACCAAGTTCACATGAAAACTACATTACAGAAGAAAGCATATGGGCGAACCATTGATAATTCAATGCCCTGCAGCTCTAATAGTCCCTTCACTGCCTCACGGATTGCCTAGACAACTCAGCCTACAAGACAATGGAAGATAAAAGATAGATATCACAAGAATAAAAGGTGGCTCAATAATCTACCATTTAACAACTATTCTCTTATAAACTGTAGTTCCACATCAATGGACACTAGAATAGTAGCTTGGCTAGCTTTATTTGAGAATCTATAATGGATTGAATTGCCATCAATTGATCTCTCCATTGTTTACAATGACGAAATTACATCCTTTTATACAAGGCTTTGATGACGTTGCAATAAAAAGGTCCAACCCTGAGCATTCATGGAAAAAAACCAAGAACAAAGGAGCAGATTTGAAATGTTCTTCATAAAAACTACAATGACACTAAATTCTAAAATTAGCAGAATAGTTTTCATCATTAAGCAATTATACAGAAAGCCTTTTGAATGTCAAAAGTCCCTGATAAATAGAGTGCCGTAAAAGAAAGTTCTAAGCTGAAGCCTTGTTTGAAATTTAGCCCATGTTTTTCTACCTTTCACTCCACCCATTCAAAGAAATCAATAGCCAAAAACTAGACAAGTTCCATATACTGCGTCATATGTGACTGCTGATTTGAGTCAGAATTTGAACTTTTAACCCACAAATACAAAGTTGTAAGTATCAATACGAAATTGTTAATAAAATTAAACAAGGACCTCTATTCAAGCTTTGATTGTATGTCACTAGGACCCCTTCTATTTGAAAATTGTTAAAGTAAACCGGGCTTCACATTTTTTTCCTAATCCCTGCAGTAACTTTTGAGCCTAGTTGAAGGTAGACGTTCAACTAGAGAACTAGATCAGAATAAGCTGGCTACAGGCACTACACTAATAACGGAAATAAGAGTTGACAACCTTCAAAAGACATGGTTTAATAGGAATCAGGCAAATGAAATATTACCTCAAATGCATTCTTCAGATGATCAAGCTCCTTATCCAGATCGTTGATAGCCTGATTGTACGCCTGCATTGGTGAAGATTGGCTGGTAGTGTGAATCTGCAGATAGGCCATCAAAAAGTTTAAACCCAAAGGGCATGAAATACTGTCAGCCCTAATTGACCTAATAACCATAAATACAATGACAAATCAGAAAGAAACAATCTGGAAGTTGGGATTATAGGTAAGAGTAAACACCTGATCAAACACTTAACCATAAAGCAAGAATATCAGCATAGAGATCCAACATATCAGATTTTTTTATAAATTGTGAGCATGGGAAAGATTCTCTTTCTCACAGAGAAAATGAGAAAGCTAATAAATACTATGAGGTCGTGAAAGGAACAAAGAAATTGTTGTGTGGAATTTCAATCATCCTGTGTGGAAGTTACAGTGATCACGATGATATACATGTTTACAGGCATACACAGAAATACTCAATGCACTGAGTTGCAAGTGACGAAAAAAGGGTTCAGCTTCAACCTATAGTTTTTAAAATCTCTAACAGGCATCACATTATAAATAATCTTAGAAACTAGTCTGTTTTCATGGTGGTGTAGCACAAGGTAAATAAACACCATGAAATTAAATCATCCAAACACACTCCTATACATCTTAGAATCCAAAATCTAGTAACTACAGCTCCTCCTCTGAATACAAAAATAATGCTGCTAGTATAATAATTAAGAAAGAAGAAATAAAAATTAAATACAAACCCTAATGATGATTTTGTATTTAAGGGGATGAGGCAACTTGTAGCCAGCAAAGAGTACATTCTCATCCCTGTGTAATTGCCTGAGTCATAGTTTTATCAATTAAAAAAAAAACATTAGCATTTTAACAATGGGGGTTTAAACACAACTGAAAATTTTCATTCGAAAATAGCATAAAAACAAATATTTACATGCGGAGAATGTTGCCGATAGTATGGTCCTCACGCTCGATGGTAAACGACGCCGCATTGATGATCTTGGTGTCTCTCTCGTATGACACCCTTTTTCATTATTTACATATCCGGGACAGAAATAGCATTAGCAAGCAAACATATATTCACAAAACAGTGATTATAATGTGTATATACGCAGAGATACATATAAATTTGCAGATAAGAGGAAGAGTGTGTACTTGGCGACGCCCTCGGGGACGACGAATCGCTCGTAGCGGTCAGGGGCATTCATGGTACTTGACGAACACTCGTCTGAGAGTATTCAGAAATTATTTATATCCTACGTCGTTGAGTTTATTCTTCCCTCCTTTTTGACCTTCAATTCAACGGGCTAATACGTCAAAATTTATATAATGTATTACATAATATCACATTGTAATTTATTATTTATCATTTTAAAACACATTCAATTTTTTCATCTAATATTTTTCCTTCATGTCGTATTATCTGATCTATTATGTACTGTTTCGCATGAAAATCGAGTCTCACTAACAATTAAAAGAAGGTTCAGACGATTGTATAAAGAACGACAACCTCTCGAGATAAAGTCTTAACGAGGGTTGCTTTATTTATGAAGATTACAATTTGTAAGAAGTGAAATGCCTCCAAGGGGCACAAACACACTGAATTCGCAAAGTAATTGAAAGTTATCAAGAAGAAATAAATGAAATTACATAATTCTCTGTTTGAAAGTCGTTTTTATTCGTCCATCTTCTAAATTCTTTTTTCTCTTTTATACTCATTTGACNGAAATGCCTCCAAGGGGCAGTAGCACACTGAATTCGCAAAGTAACTGATAGTTAACAAGAAGAAAGAAATGAAATTACATAATTCTCTATTTGAGAGTTATTTGATTTGTCCCTCTTACATGTTCTATTTTCTCTTTTATACTCTTTTGACAATTTTTCCTTGTAGAACCGTTTGAAAACTGTTCATCGCCCTATAACTACTTATTTTCTCCATAATGGATGATTTGTCAAGAAACTACCGTTTTCAACTGCTGCCATTACTCCCATCATTTAACTGCTTGCAATTGAGATTTTTGGATTGTGAAATGTGATAAGATTACTCATTAACTATTTCAATAACCGTTGCTTTAAATAACAATCAAGACACTATACTCGCCCAGATTTTGGGCGTCTCCCCGACTTGAGCGATGATGGGCCTCCGCTACATAATTCCGTCATGGGTTTTTACATGGTCTCGTTTAGGCCCATCTTTAGAATTTCATAACTGGAATTCATTCTTTGGACCATTTAATTGATCATCATTTTTGTATGTCAACAATT